CCAGTCTCTCCTATTGTGTTATAACAGCAGAATGGACTAAGACGGGTTTGTATCTTGTTTGAATGTGTCACTGACACATTACACACTAAGCTTGTGTCCTGGTCCCATTTCTTTTCCCAAGCCTCGTATTTTTATTGTGCTATTCTGCATTGTGAGGTGAATTTTAGGAGCACAAATGCCACATAACAGAACTGACTGTATATACAATTCTGTGGGGAAATTCCTGTACGTGACCACTGTGAAAGTTAATTTTTCTTTAAACTCAGAAGCATTTCTAATTGCTGTGCTGAGGTCCAAAACTTTGTTTTCTGGTTGAGGTTGATCTAAGACTGACGTGGAACAAGTTGGGACAATGTAAGTGTTTCCAAATGGCTGGCTCCTTTTCAGCTTTCAGATCTTAGAGAAGCTGGGACCAACTCCCCCTCTCCCATCCCCATGCCTGCTCACTATGCTCTCTGCTGTGTTTTATTTTTACTTACCTAATTATATTATATGTATGATCGCTTTGGATCTGTTACACTACATTTTACTATTTGTTCATTGTTCCTATTAGAATATACGCTCATAAAGGCAGATAGCCTATCTGCCTTGTTCATAGTTGTATTATCACCATCTAAAGAAGTCTGCGACACACAGAGAGTAACACAGATTTGCATTTTGTCAACCGAAGATCTCTTTTCTGGGGTTTAACATGAAAACTATAACACCTATTTCCTTTTATACGTCCACCTAGAATTATTTTGGGATTTTCCCTACTATGAAAGCATCAGCCTCACATTCATTTTCAAAATACTGTTAACTTCTAAGAAATAGGTAAACACATAATGATTCAGAAACCAAACTTAGGGCTTTGTTTTTCGTACTCTTTTCTAACCAGTTTTTTTTTTTTTTCTTTTTCCAAACTACAGTTATTTCACTTACATTAATATCTAAGAATAGGCCCCGAATACAGTGGCTTGAGTGGTAAGAGAGAGGAAGGGCAAGGATGTGTTGGCTCTTGACAAACACCAATTGAACATGTAATTAGAGGTGCTGGCTGGGCCAGGGGAGTCAGGCCAATGGCAACTCCAAGATTGCTGCTCACTACACAAAGCTGAAAATCCAGGGTTGAGTTTCAGCAAACATTTATCTAGTGCCCCCTAATGGCCATGTCCAGCACTAGAGACTGAAGGACTGAAATGAAAAATTAAGATCCTTTCCTACCCGAGTGTAGAATTCGGTGAGCAAGGTGTAAAAAGTGACACACGTAAACAGATTCCTGGTTTAAATAGGTACTGTCGAAAGGGAAGTGGGTGAAAGGATGCCGCAGGGAAAGGGGCACCTACTATTTAACTATTTGCCTTCAGACTGGGGGAGAGTTTGGATTTGATGTGGGCTGAACCTGAAAGGGGTGCTGTGCTAGTCACCTGCCTGTGTTCTCTCGAGTCCATTCCCCACTCCTCCCTGCTCTGCTTGGTAGTTCAGGAAACCGTATTTCCCAGGGTCCAGCGCCCACTGGCTCGTGGATGGGCCTGGCCCGTAGGAAGCTTTGGCTGAAGATGGGAGGGCCAAAGCAAGGGTGACAGCAAGCTCCCTCTCTCCATCTCCTCTACTTGGGCAGTGTGGCTGGCTACGGCGGTGGCTCCTCTGTGATTCCAGGAAGCGCCAGCCACGTCCTCCATGGTTTCAGTGTCAAGGGGCTGGTGCTGGTCCTGGGCTGTGGGAATCCCTGTGTCCTTCCAGCCCAGGGAAGGCAGAGGCTCCCTACTGAGGCTCATCTTGGCATTGCATCACCTCCCCGCATTTGGCATCTTGGCTCTTCAGTTACTCAAGCAAAAAATTCCCTGTGTTAAATCTCCTGTTTTAAACCTCCAGGGATGGCTTTTGTTTGACTGCCTGCACCCTCAGTGAACAGGAGATCAGCTCCTGAGGGGGAAGCACAGCATAGCCTCTGGCCTAGAAAAGAATGAAGGGTCAGGTGGAAGATTTAGCCTGTGGGAAAGGAGAGGGTCAAGGCCACCTAAAAACAGGGATTCTCAGACACGCGGAAACTATGCTGTTGAGGCAACACCATTCTGCGCCAGGTGGGTCTTTGGAAGGCTTTCTATACAAATACAAGGGCAAAATGTTGCCCAAGAAGAGATGTCACCTACGTAGGCAAGCCACAAGGCTGGAGGATTTTGGATCCAGTGCACCTCTTTGTTTTCCATCGAGTTTAAATCAGCTGGATGGGGCTCTTGGGAATGACTCACCCACGCAGGATACCAAAACTGGAAGTTGTTTTCTGCCTTCAGATTATATGCATGAGGACACTGAAGCTTTGGTATGGGAAAGCGCTTTGCACAAGGTCACACAGCTGGCATAGCTGGAAGGAGAACTCCACTCGCCTAATTTCAGGGTCAAAGCCTTTTTCATGCTGTCCTTGGAGCCCTTACCACGCCCCGAGTTTCAGCTCATTCCATTACAGGCAGGTTCGCTCTTTCCATAACTACGAGATTCTGAACAAGTTTGAATGGGTTGGTCACATATTAATAGTTTCTAATTTTGAACGAAACATAGTAAGCATGTTACTCACTCCAAAGTGACCAGTTTGGAGTGGTTTTTTTTTTATTTTTTAATTTTTTTTAAAGATTTTATTTATTTCTTTGACCGAGAGAGAGCACAAGTAGGCAGAGCAGCAGGCAGAGGGAGAGGGAGAAGCAGACCCCCCTGCCGAGCAGGGAGCCTGATGTGGGGCTCGATCCCAGGACCCTGGAACCATGACCTGAGCCGAAGGCAGTCGCTTAACCGACTGAGCCACCCAGGCGCCCTGGAGTGGTTTTTAAGTAGAATAAAGTCATTTAATAAAGCCACAGACATTATATAGTCAACTAAAATGCAGTAGAATTCAGGTAGTAGGACATAGTCTCCTTTGTTAGCAGAAACAAAAAACAAGCAAGCAAGCAAACAAACAAAAATGAACCTTCGAGACTGCAGTACTTGCTGTATGCTTACACCATTAGCCTTTATAAAATCCTACAGTTGTTACCACTTCTGTATGAAGACTGAACGCCACGGTTTGGTTTGACATAAAATAAACTCCTTGAGGCCAAGACTTTAGAGACATTATCTGTTTAATAAATATGATTGTAAAAGCAATAAACAAGAGCAAGTATACATTACACTACATAGTATTTAACAAAAAAATACATCAAAAAAGTCATCTTAAAATTAGAAGTAGTTCCGATACTATAAGAAAACTTTCTTTTTCTTTTTTTTTTTTTTTTTTTTTTTTGAAATTGGCTTCCTAGAAAAATAAGTTGGCAAATGAGGGATTTCAATGCTCAGTTGGAATCCTGGAAAACAGAACAGCTGCCAAACACCCCATTGCTCTCAAAGTTGCTGTTTGGAACTTCTGAAAAAAAGCAAAGCAAGCCTCTGCATTTTGGATAGTGAATCCAATTAGGAATAAGGCAAAGGAGAAAATGTTGGTTGGGTAGTTCAGGGTAGAGCACGCACAGTTTGCCTTCTGGGGTTTTTGGAAAACGTGGTAATATCAGATTCTTAGCTTGCCCTGAATCTTCCCTTCCACATCCATCCCTCCCCACTCACTCCTCTGGCCTGAAGCCCACCAAATTCCTCACTGTGTTTGCACTTGCTGTTAGCGAGTGGGTAGGCACTTTGGTCCCTCCCACTTGTAGGCTCTCATTACTACCTTCTCTTTGGGATTGAGCTGGAGTGGCAGGGTGTGGTGGTTCCCAAAGTTCTGTGTACAGTACAATAACCTGAAAAGCTGGTAAAAATCGACTGCTGGGCCCTACCCCCTGTAGTTTCTGGTTCAGTAGGTCTGCAGTAGGGGGACCCTAAATTCTAGTAAGTCTGAGGTTATGCTGATACTGCTCAGTCCAGGTACCACACTTTGAGAACCATAGCGCTAGGTCGTAAGAACAATGAGGTCCCCTCTGAGTGGTACCTTGCCTCACTCATGTCCTACAGGTGGGAGGGAGCTTCGAGGAGAGGCACATGAGGATCCTGGAGATGCTGAATAGAGAGCCGGCCATCTGTGATCACTTTCCAAAATGCCAGGCATCTCATGTTTACCTCTATTTTTAATTAGGACTTACGTGCCCATTTTTCCCTACATCTTCTCGCATATTCTTCCATTTATCCCTTCAACAAAGTAATTTTCTTAATACCCACTCTAGGCAAGGCACTGTGCGAGATTAAGAGGGTGATTCCCTTTTTCATAATTTTCCATTTAAAATTAATTGAACTGCAACTCTGAGGACTCCCTGTGCTGTTTTGAGTGAGCCTCTTTTGGTTTCCAAACATTTTGTCTTCCAGATTAAACTTGGAAGGCTCCAACTGAAGTGGATCGATGAGGATGTTTCCTATGGGATAGGAAGCCTGGCAGGTTGGGGATCAACTGAGTTCTACAAGCAGATGGCTGCCTCAGGCATAATCCATTTCCCAGATTCATCCTGGGCATCCTCAACCATCAAAACTTCTGTCTGATTCATTTCTGACTGCAGCTTTGCTACTCTTTGCCTGCCTGAGCTACACAAGGGCAGGGATCACCAGGATCTTTGGGACATCCCCAGGATCACCAGGACCCTGTTATCAACTGTGACTGGACTGGGAACATGGCCAAGCAGGAGGCTGCTCTCTCTGAATGGTTTTCAAAACTGCTTTCTCCTATATTTTAGAGTGGGCTTTGCCTAATTCATAATCCTCCAAGGGCTTCTGCTGAACACATTTTTGTTTCCTTCTTTCTCTGTACCTTCTTTAATCATTGCTCTGGGCAAATGGGGATTGTTCATGCTCTGAGCCGATCTGCTTTAGTTAGACATCTACCTCCTCCCATTTAAGTTTACTAATTTTTCCTTTGCCAATATGGATACTCAGAGATCAGAGAGCATACCTAGGAGATGTCTGGGATCATTCCACATAATCAAAATCTTATCCTAATGTAAGACAAGACCTCCATATATTCTCAGACTTTTTAACACTCTTAAATATTAAATCCATTAACCTGCTTCTTCTTCTGGTTAAAATCAGTTTTATTTTACAAATATTTTTACTGTATTGTGAGAGAACAAATACTGGGTAATAGCAACCATTACAGAAGGAAATTGCCCTGCCACATAGTAACACATTCGAAACATTTCTCACAAGAATATTCTGGAATCTGCACACGAGATTTTTGTTAAGGTGTGAGAATACCACTATTCATCTGTATGCTTTCTTTTCCAGTGTACATGGCCAGGTTTGAATCGTTTTGCATACATCAACTCTTTCACACACTCTGCATGTTTCCAGGTGGGAAAAGGCAAAGCTATTTGGAAGAGGCAGGTTCTACAGGAGGGGACAAAGGATACATGGAGCCGAAACCTGCAGGGCAGGATGCAGCTGGGTCAGTGTAGGGAAGTTGGCATGCTGACATGTGTGGGTGGTGGGGGGCAAGGCCAGCAGAGACCAGGCCAGTATTTAGGGAACACTGAAGTTAATGTCTAGAATCCAGTAACATGTTTGGGAAGAAAAAGTAGGAGTTGAAAGACAACTTGGAGACTGGAAGGAAGAGGTACAAAGACATCAACAGATCATGACCACACATGGGTAGCAAACAAATGGGGAGGCCAGACAATGGGGACCTGGGATTCTCTCTTCTACGTAAGCTGGGGGACAGGAGTAAGAAAGCTACAAGGGAAAGCCTTGGCGACGGGAAGAGGTGAACAGGAAACAGAGATCCACTTCTGACATGCTTGCCCCCCCTCCCTGCCTTCCCTCGTCTGCCCGCGTATGTGGAACTTCACCTCGCTCCTTCGTCCCTGTGGCTGCACAGAATGCAAGAACGCAAGCAGTCCTGTGGCCACGGCTGGCCACCGGAGCTACCAGAGATAACTTAGAAAAGAAACTGGGACAGAGAAACAGCTCAGGGTTTCACACTCCTGTGCATGTCTTTGTGTCTTATGAAAGGCGCTGGGGCGGCTAATGCCCCCCATCAGCCTCTAGGGCTAAAATAGCTGTTAAGTCGAGAGCCAAGAATATTTCCAAAAACACATGCAGATTTCCTTGGCCTCTATATGTTATGAATTTTCTACAAACACGACGGATCAGAAAAAAGAGAGAGAAGAGGAAAGGGGGAGGGGAGTGTTTTTCCATTAAAATAGAGCACCAGCACACTGCCCCTCCAAGCATGTTCAAGGTATTGTCCACATGCACAGGCTTAAAGCTAAAAACCCTTGTTGTCTGTGTCTGAAGAATTAAAAAGTCCCGATGCAGTGAGTGTTTGTTTGTTTGTCTGTCTGTTTGGATTTTGATCGTTTTTTATTTTATTTGTTTGTTTGTTTTTGTTTTTACTGGCGTCCTCCATTCAAACATTTACATAGGTAGGGATCTCTTTTGTGCTTTGATTCTCAGCAACTATGGAAATACTTCCTGGCAAAATAGGAAACAGAACAACAAAGGAAAGAGAAAAAAAAAACAAAAACAAAAACATCAAGTTAGTGGTCATGAGGATGGTGCACTTGACAAGAGCGAAATTCTTTCCTGATCAGCAGGTCGCCTGTAGCCTTTGGGGGTTTTCCTTAAATTGCAAATTGTGCCCCAGCAGATCCCCGCTTTGGCGTTGAAGGTGGAGTGGCGTGTCTTGCTCTTTGCAATCGGAGAGATGAGTCACCAGGTTGAGTAGAAGGGGAGGGAGGGGAGGGTAAAGCTACTCTCCTAAGAGAAAACGTGTAACACTTACTCATTTAATGACACTGACAACGGAAAGGTGTCAGAGACTGCAATGTGCTGCCGGATGCTCTTGGTGAAGGAGGGATTGCTACTTTAATAAAGTCAACAGCGCTGCGCTTCATACCCCGTGGAAATGGGATTGAAAATCAAATGACCCACAAAAATTCACTTAGAAGCTTCAGAAGTAAATAGGGTGAACGCTTCTCTGGACTTGAAGACAGAAAAGCCTTTTTCTTTTGAACCTAAAGCAATTACACATTTATCACCCTGTCTCCCCAAATAAAAGCCAGCACGCTGTGAACACTGGACCCCAGATGTGGCTCCAGCTGGTATTATCACGTCCAAGACAAGCCAGGCCCTGCACTGAAATCTCACCCATTACCATCACAGAACTCTTCCACATCCGCTTAAAGAGAGGCTTGTGTTTCCATTTAGGTGCTCCTTTCCCTTTCTAAGTAACAGATTAAAAATCTTAGGTAGCGGCCTTCTAGAAGGTTTGGTATTCTGACATTAGAGTGAGGCACGGATGGTTATCTAGTAATGCCTCCGTCTCGGTCAGCAATGCAGGATTTGAGGTGGCAACATTACAGCTTCAAGTCCCGACACCAACAGACAGGAGCAAACAAGGCCAGCCATGGATCACAATGGGAGCTCCACGGGTTTGTCTAACTCCCTGGAAATTCTCCTCCGCCAAGAGAGTAGGACTTAGCAATTACGCCTGAGACTCTAGACCCAGTGGTTGGATCCCCAGCTTACTTCGCAGGCAGGGAGAGAGAGCGCTTTACTGATACATGGTAAGGTCCACTGTAAGACCTCTGCTAGGGGGCAGGTAAAGAGGAGGAAGAAATCTGCCTATCAGCTCTGTAACAGGCTAACCCTCCAGGGGTCTCTCTCAGGAAACCTCACTCCTGGGATGTTCTGCAAACTTTCTGCCTCTTGTCCTCAAAATTCTCAGGTTCCATGTTTCCTGGGGGGTTGGGGGTGGGGGGCAGTTTTAAGATTCCTGCTAATTAAAAAAAAATCCCAGGGTAATCAGCTTGGCCCTCCTCTATTCTGTCTCATGAGGTCACTTCTCTATAAGCATTCTGGAGCAATTTGCCCTCCAAGGAGTCGTCTCGAGTCCAGGCGGCTCTGTCCTACCCTGTCATTCCCTACCCTGCCCGGCCCTCCACATCACCAGATCCAGCCTCTGAGGCCTCCTCCTTGCACATTGTTAGAGACAACACTCTGCTCTTTTGCCCATGAACATTCTGAAGCCCCGTATTTTAGAGCAAGGGATTTTGCAAAAGGAGGAATAAAGTCACGAGAGAGAAAAAAACACTACATAGGAGCAAGAAGGCTTTTCCCCCCCACTCATTCCAATGGAAGGAAGCAGGGAAAGAGACATCTTAGCTGTTTCTCTCAGCAATGTTAGAGCAGGAGAAAGTGGTTACGTCAAGCCAGAAAGGGGTTAGACAGAGTCAGCCGTCGACTACCAGGCTGAGCAGCTGATGGCTACTGGGAATCATTTACCTATGAGCTGGCATTCCACCTTCTCATCTATCAGTTGGCCAGGCCGCCTTAGTTCAGTCTGAGGGATATGGGCCCTGCTTTCAGTGTGACTGACCCGACTGACCATCTCTCGTTCTTTCTCATTCTGCATCTGGGCATAAACATTAATCCCCGGGATCTTCCTAAAACATTAACAGACAGCATCATTGCTATGCGTGGGAGACACACATCACGGCAACACGTGCTTCCACACCTGTCAGGGAGAAGGAAGGGGGAGGGGAGATGTGGACGGAGGGCCACATACCTTTTAAACTTGTAGATGACGAACACGGCCAGCCCTACAAACAGCACCGAGAGCAGCATCAGCATGGCGGATCCACTGTGGGTTGGAGTGAGGTCCACCAGCGGGGCTAGGGAAGAACACAAAGCACGGTCATGGCCAGAGACACGGGCATGCCTGACTCCGTAAGATGCTGACGCTCTTCATTCACACAGAGGCACGGTGAGTCCCAGGAAACCACGGGGGGCCTACGCACAGATGCGTGTCACATGGCTGGCGTGGGTGGGGGGCATCTGAGCCTGCCCCCGCCCCCAGACCATTCCAGCTGGCCTATTCGGGAAGTGCGGTGGGGCCCTGGAGCCAGACTGCTCGGATTCCAGGCCTGCGCTAGCACGCACAGGCCCTGTGATCCTAGGCAAGTGATTTCACCTTAATGGGCTTACGTGGTGAGAGAATAATAGTGCATATCTCATGGGGTCTGTGTGAGGACCAGGTGAGTCCACGTACATAAAGCACTGATAACAGAGAGGGGCACACAGAAAGTCTTCCTTAAGTATCAGCCTGTCTTACTATTGTTGCTGCTATTCTATTTGATCAATATTTATCAGACTGTAATTATTAATTTTTCCTATACTTTGAGTGCAAGCTTTTCTCACACTAAGCAACGCACATCACCAGAAAAAGCAACAGGAATATTCTTACGAATGATCTGCTATCTCTCACTCCTGTCCCTGCAAGGGTCATGTGAGACAAAGGGCTGTAGGGTCATGGAGCACGCTTATCTTTTCGGCACACAGGAAGCTGACGGCTAAGTGACTATTTTACAAGAGCAGCCGCTGTGGTGCAAGCAGAGGGGTGTGCGACCCGATGTTGTCTCGACGACTTCCCAAAGCCCTGAGAGCAGCTCGTGCCAAGAGGCACCAGGATGCACGGAGTTCTCCTCTTTGCATCCATAACAGATTCTCCTCCCTGAGTTTACCCTTAGACCGCAGCTCTTGGGAGCATCTCTCTCCACCTCCAGATCCTCTGCAATCTTAGGATCAACTCTGTCGTGCTTTAAGGACTTTGTTTGCAATTAACTTTCACCCTCTAAAAAAACTGATGTGTTGCAAAAATAGCATCGCTCAAGCATAAAAGACACGCCACGTGTACACCTTGGAAGGCCCGGATGCTGTACTTTGCCTTCCATCATTTAAGTAAAGTCTGATACTCAGAAATATAGGTGACTTTCAAGCACCATTTTCTGTGGCTTTCTCTGTTGAGAGCCCAGAAGGCAATGTTCTGGTCACCTGGGTGCAAAAGTTCAAGAAGAGACCCCGGGATACTGAAGGACTCCAGCAAGACTCGAGGCTCCTTCCGCTCTGTCTGGTTACTGTCAGGTTATGTTCCAGCCACTCGACGCAACTGGAGAGCATGTTCCAGATACCAAATAGTTTTGCTGGGAAACAGGTCAAACCTTGTTTCTCAGAAAACAGGTTTAGTTGTTTTAGTAGAATCAGCTTTTAGGAAGCAGGGAAATCAAGCAACCCCTGTGATTCTCTCTCCTACGTCAAGCAGTGCTTATGCCTTGCAGGGCCCATGGGTGAGTCTGTGTGTGAGGAGTCTGTAAGGAGACACCCAAGGCTCCCGTGCTTCCGGGTCAAAATGAGAAAAATAAAAGTGTCTTTCATTTACTTAGGCAAACACAGTGCCATTAGCAAAGGAGTCCAGAAAACCTTCAGAACTCACACTGCAATTGGTAGGATGTCACCGGGGAAGGGGACACCTTCCATTTTTCATAGACATTATCGCAACTGATTTCCACAAATGGAAGGCAGGGCTGTGACCTCCGCTGAAGAGATAAAAACAGTGAGGCTCTCACTGGTTAATGTCCTTCCAAAGGACTCGAAACTAGGAAGTGGAAGAACAAAGATTTGAACCTGAGTCCTACCAAAAACACACACACGGAGCTAATTTCAATGGAAGATACTGGAAATTTAAAAACATATTTCTGAGAGTGGGGATTAGGGCTAAAACTACAGTGCGAAAAGCAAATTAAATATTACCAAGTCTTAAAAGGACCAGTTAGAATCATAAAGCATGCTCTCTTACACTTGGGCGACACGTGTGTGTACATACATATGCATATGTGTGTACGGTACATGTGCGTAAAGAAATGTACCCAGCACCCGGCTTCAACAAACATCAACCCGCAGACAATATTGTTTTATTTTTGGGGCGCCTGGGTGGCTCAGTTGGTTAAGCGACTGCTTTCGGCTCAGGTCATGATCCTGGAGTCCCTGGATCGAGTCCCGCATCGGGCTCCCTGCTCGGCGGGGAGTCTGCTTCTCTTTCTGACCCTCCTCCCTCTCATGCTCTCTGTCTCTCATTCTCTCTCTCGCAAATAAATAAAATCTTAAAAAAAAAAAATTGTTTTATTTTTTTCCCCCACCAGTCCTCACAACCCCAACCATTGGATTATTCTGAAGCAAATCTTAGCCATCGTGTAATTCCATCTGTAACTCTAAAAGATAAGGTCCTTCTCTCTCTTGACATTATCACAATACTGTTATCACACTCAAGGAAATAAAAATGGGAAGCTAATTTATAGGTAATCTTCTAATGCAAGCCCTTAGTTTGGCAGGGAACAAAGGCAGATTCAGGGACGGGCCCCTCTGGTTAGGATGGTTAGAGGCAGCTTAGCTTTATTAGCTAAACTTGTAATTCCTAGTGGCCTGCTTTGTCAGAATAAGCAGAGAGCAGTGCTATGGAGTAACCAAGAGGGATACTAAGCCTGCTTGAAAGGGTTGGCATCTGAAATAAATGGAAAACTAAAGAGAGGAAATTGCTTTGGCCAGGCTCTTGCTAAAAGAGAAAGCAAACACACACGCACACACACACATTTCTCTTCCCTTCCTCATCCTCTTTCTCCACATCACAAGTTTCTATCATTCAATTCTAAATCATTCCTACTTAAAACATCATTCGTACACAAGGGCATTAGCACTGGTAAGTAATTAGCATAGCATTTTGGGAAAAGGAGCTTCTGTGTTCTGAGACCTAAAGCGCGGCTCTCTGCTCCCCCATCTCTGCACCTCTTAGTCTCAGAGGTGGGCCAGAGGGCCAAGCAGGCGGAGATTGGACGCCACTGCCCCGTGTGTTCCGCTGCTGAGCTGCTCCCTGACCTGCCCTGAATGTAAGCGGGCCTGTTACCGCTGCTCACAGCGGCGGCTGCCTTACCTTCGTGTGCCTGACGCTTATGTGCGTTTGAGTGTATTCTGCTGAGGATGGAAACTTGTGATAAATGGGCTTTAGCTGGTTGTGTGGAATTAGCATAAATTAATCCCTCTCCAGTTGCAGCCTAAACGAGGTAGAAGCGTGAAGGAAAATGCTGAGCAGTTTATTTGTCCTTATCCACACAGAGTAAAGCATGGATAGGACCCTACTGTAGGTGACTCCACCTTTTTTTCTTCTCCTTTTTTTTTTTTTAAGAGAGGGAGTGGGGGAGGGGTGGAGAGAGAGAATCTTAAGCAGGCTCCATGCCCAGCGCAGAGCCCGATGTGGGGATCGATCCTTACGACCCTGAGAGCATGACCTGAGCCGAAATCAAGAGTCGGACACTTAACCGACTGAACGACCCAGGCGCCACTAACTTCACATTTCTAAGTGTGGGTGCGGGCACACACTGTTTCTGAAATCCTGGGAGGACTCAGAAATGCACTGAATTATCATGTTCTATTCATGAGGACCCAGGTTGATTATAACAACAGCAGTGCTTACAGTAAGGACAACAGTCTTCCTGTGAAATTCAAGTGACTGGAATATATAAATAAATGTTCACAGCCTGTGCACACGAGAGCAATCTCAGAACTCCATGACTGGGGTCAAGAAATTGATACGGTCCCTTTTGAGAATCAGATTCTGAGTATGCCACTTGTGGGACTTAAGTGACTTAAACTGAACCTCAGTTTCCTCATCTGCATAATGGAGGTAACACTAAGTGCTTGTTCTGGAAAGTTGTGAGAATAAAACAAGATGGGATCTTTATAGCACTTGGCATAGTGTCCAGCACATAGGACATGCTCAGTATTTTTAACACTGTCATATCATTGCTAGCATATTCTACAGAAAACAAGCCCCAAAAGATAACAAAAGGGTTCCATGGTTAGATAATTTGGGGAAATGGTATATACAGTATTCCCCATCTTGGAGATTTGCAATGCTCATCAGTAACTGAGTGTTCACAGCAGTCCTTGGGCACCTGGGTGGCTCAGTCGGCTGGGTGTCTGACTCTTAGTTTCAGCTCAGGTCATGATCTCAGGGTTGTGGGATCAAGCCTTGCCTCGGGCTCTGCACTGGGTGTTGAGCCTGCTTGGGATTCTCTCTCTCCCTTTTCCACTGCTCTTCCCCTGCCTCTAAAATAAATAAATACATCTTAAAAAAAAAAAAAGTTCACAGCAGTCCTGCAGGAAAGAAATTCATTTAACTCTACCATAGTGTTTGCCATATATGGCCACAGCCCCTTTCCAGACCAAGGTCCCACACAACATGCTTGAGGAAAAGCTTTACCCTGGGTACCACTTTCCCCTTTGCTGCAGCCTTGCCCCTTTGTTTGGTTTATTTCCAAGTTGTAAAGTCAACAATAAGGTGGCATCGGCTGGTGAAACCGTGCTCTTTGTATTCACTCTCATTCGAGCAAAGGGACTTTCTTGGAGAATTTCTACCTGCACTAGTACTCTGAAACCCTGAACTACATTTCTAATTCATTTCTACATTTCTAATCCAGAAGTTAGTGAGGTCAAGGAACTTACAAAAGCAAGTTTGCCAAATCTTGAATTTCTTTTTGACTACTGCCTCCAAAGCACAACTATACTGGGCTTCAGTTACATGCCTGGAATATCACAAAATCCATGTGGTCTGAAATCTCTTTCCAGAAATTAAAGTGATATGGGAATGGCACAAACAGAATTTATTTAGAAAACAGAAAGAGTGGGGCACCTGGGTGGCTGAGTCGGTTAAGTGTCTGCCTTCAGCTCAGGTCATGATCTCCGGGTCCTGGGATGGAGCCCCACATCGGGCTCCCTGCTCAGTGGGGAGTTTGCTTCTCTCTCCCTCTGGCCCTCCCCCCACCTCTCTCTCTGTCTCAAATAG